CACCCCTTGGGGGTAAATGAAGCCTCAGTAGGTAGTCATGCACCCCTTGGGGATGAATGAAGCCTCAGTAGGTAGCCATGCACCCCTTGGGGATGAATGAAGCCTCAGTAGGTAGTCATGCACCCCTTGGGGATGAATGAAGCCTCAGTAGGTAGTCATGCACTCCTAGGGGATAAATGAAGCCTCAGTAGGTAGTCATGCACCCCTTGGGGGTAAATGAAGCCTCAGTAGGTAGTCATGCACCCCTTGGGGATGAATGAAGCCTCAGTAGGTAGTCATGCACCCCTTGGGGATGAATGAATCCTCAGTAGGTAGTCATGCACCCCTTGGGGATGAATGAAGCCTCATTGGTAGTTATGCACCCCTTGGGGATGAATGAAGCCTCAGTAGGTAGTCATGCACCCCTTGGGGATGAATGAAGCCTCAGTAGATAGTCATGCACCCCTTGGGAATAAATGAAGCCTCAGTAGGTAGTTATGCACCCCTTGGGGTATGAATGAAGCCTCAGTAGGTAGTCATGCACCCCTTGGGGATGAATGAAGCCTCAGTAGGTAGTCATGCACCCCTTGGGAATAAATGAAGCCTCAGTAGGTAGTCATGCACCCCTTGGGGATGAATGAAGCCTCAGTAGGTAGTCATGCACCCCTTGGGGACGAATGAAGCCTCAGTAGGTAGTCATGCACCCCTTGGGGATGAATGAAGCCTCAGTATGTAGTCATGCACCCCTTGGGGATGAATGAAGCCTCAGTAGGTAGTCATGCACCCCTTGGGGATAAATGAAGCCTTAGTAGGTAGTCATGCACCCCTTGGGGATGAATGAAGCCTCAGTAGGTAGTCATGCACCCCTTGGGGATGAATGAAGCCTCAGTAGGTAGTCATGCACCCCTTGGGGATGAATGAGTAGCCTCAGGTAAGAGTAGGTCATGCACCCCTTGGGGATGAATTGAAGCCTCAGTAGGTAGTCATGCACCCCTTGGGGATGAATGAAGCCTCAGTAGGTAGTCATGCACACCTTGGGGATGAATGAAGCCTCAGTAGGTAGTCATGCACCCCTTGGGATTAAATGAAGCCTCAGTAGGTAGTCATGCACTCCTTGGGGTAAATGAAGCCTCAGTAGGTAGTCATGCACCCCTTGTGGGTGAATGAAGCCTCAGTAGGTAGTCATGCACCCCTTGGGGATAAATGAAGCCTCAGTAGGTAGTCATGCACCCCTTGGGGATGAATGAAGCCTCAGTAGGTAGTCATGCACCCCTTGGGGATGAATGAAGCCTCATATGGCAGTTCATGCACCCCTTGGGGATGAATAAAGCCTCAGTAGGTAGTCATGCACCCCTTGGGGATGAATGAAGCCTCAGTAGGTAGTCATGCACCCCTTGGGGATGAATGAAGCCTCAGTAGGTAGTCATACACCCCTTGGGAATAAATGAAGCCTCAGTAGGTAGTCATGCACCCCTTGGGGGTAAATGAAGCCTCAGTAGGTAGTCATGCACCCCTTGGGATAATGAAGCCTCAGTAGGTAGTCATGCACCCCTTGGGGATAAATGAAGCCTCAGTAGGTAGTCATGCACCCCTTGGGGATGAATGAAGCCTCAGTAGGTAGTCATGCACCCCTTGGGGATGAATGAAGCCTCAGTAGGTAGTCATGCACCCGTTGGGGATGAATGAAGCCTCAGTAGGTAGGCATGCACCCCTTGGGGATGAATGAAGCCTCAGTAGGTAGTCATGCACCCCTTGGGGATAAATGAAGCCTCAGTAGGTAGTCATGCACCCCTTGGGGGTAAATGAAGCCTCAGTAGGTAGTCATGACCCCTTGGGATGAATGAAGCCTCAGTAGGTATCATGCACCCCTTGGGGATAAATGAAGCCTCAGTAGGTAGTCATACACCCCTTGGGGGTAAATGAAGCCTCAGTAGGTAGTCATGCAGCCCTTGGGGATGAATGAAGCCTCAGTAGGTAGTCATGCGCCCCTTGGGGATAAATGAAGCCTCAGTAGGTAGTCATGCACCCCTTGGGGGTAAATGAAGCCTCAGTAGGTAGTCATGTACCCCTTGGGGATGAATGAAGCCTCAGTAGGTAGTCATGCACCCCCTTGGGGATAAATGAAGCCTCAGTAGGTAGTCATGCACCCCTTGGGGATAAATGAAGCCTCAGTAGGTAGTCATGCACCCCTTGGGGATGAATGAAGCCTCAGTAGGTAGTCATGCAGCCCTTTGGGATGAATGTAGCCTCAGTAGGTAGTCATGCACCCCTTGGGGATGAATGAAGCCTCAGTAGGTAGTTATGCACCCCTTGGGGATGAATGAAGCCTCAGTAGGTAGTCATGCACCCTTTGGGGATGAATGAAGCCTCATTAGGTAGTCATGCACCCTTTGGGGATGAATGAAGCCTCAGTAGGTAGTCATGCACCCCTTGGGGATGAATGAAGCCTCAGTAGGTAGTCATGCACCCCTTGGGGATGAATGAAGCCTCAGTAGTTAGTTATGCACCCTTTGGGGATGAATGAAGCCTCAGTAGGTAGTCATGCACCCCTTGGGGATGAATGAAGCCTCAGTAGGTAGTATGCACCCTTGGGGATGAATGAAGCCTCAGTAGGTAGTCATGCACCCCTTGGGGATGAATGAAGCCTCAGTAGGTAGTCATGCACCCCTTGGGGATGAATGAAGCCTCAGTAGGTAGTCATGCACCCCTTGGGGTGAATGAAGCCTCAGTAGGTAGTCATGTACCCCTTGGGGATGAATGAAGCCTCATAGTAGTCATGCACCCCTTGGGTGAAATGAAGCCTCAGTAGGTAGTCATGCACCCCTTGGGGATAATGAAGCCTCAGTAGGTAGCATGCACCCTTGGGGATGAATGAAGCCTCAGTAGGTAGTCATGCACCCCTTGGGGATGAATGAAGCCTCAGTAGGTAGTCATGCACCCCTTGGCGATGAATGAAGCCTCAGTAGGTAGGCATGCACCCCTTGGGGATGAATGAAGCCTCAGTAGGTAGCCATGCACCCCTTGGGGATAAATGAAGCCTCAGTAGGTAGTCATGCACCCCTTGGGGGTAAATGAAGCCTCAGTAGGTAGTCATGCACCCCTTGGGGATGAATGAAGCCTCATTAGGTAGTCATGCACCCCTTGGGGATAAATGAAGCCTCAGTAGGTAGTCATACACCCAAGGGGATAAATGAAGCCTCAGTAGGTAGTCATGCAGCCCTGGGGATGAATGAAGCCTCAGTAGGTAGTCATGCACCCTTTGGGATGAATGAAGCCTCATTAGGTAGTCATGCACCCCTTGGGGGTAAATGAAGCCTCAGTAGGTAGTCATGTACCCCTTGGGGATGAATGAAGCCTCAGTAGGTAGTCATGCACCCCTTGGGGATAAATGAAGCCTCAGTAGGTAGTCATGCACCCCTTGGGGATAAATGAAGCCTCAGTAGGTAGTCATGCACCCCTTGGGATGAATGAAGCCTCAGTAGGTAGTATGCACCCTTTGGGATGAATGTAGCCTCAGTAGGTAGTCATGCACCCCTTGGGGATGAATGAAGCCTCAGTAGGTAGTTATGCACCCCTTGGGGATGAATGAAGCCTCAGTAGGTAGTCATGCACCCTTTGGGGATGAATGAAGCCTCATAGGTAGTCCATGCACCCTTGGGGATGAATGAAGCCTCAGTAGGTAGTCATGCACCCCTTGGGGATGAATGAAGCCTCAGTAGGTAGTTATGCACCCCTTGGGGATGAATGAAGCCTCAGTAGGTAGTATGCACCCCTAGGGGATGAATGAAGCCTCAGTAGGTAGTATTGCACCCCTTGGGGATGAATGAAGCCTCAGTCAGGTGTGCATGCACCCTGCTGAATAAGCCTTTCACTAGAAATAGACCCCGGATGAAAGGCTTATAGTACAATGCCGACACCCGGTGGTATAAATAATGCATCAAATGTGACTGACCCTTTACTGACGTTTCTCCCAACCCTACATGCACATAGTGGGATTATATAATCAACTTGATAAAAGCCTGCTACGTGTATGAAAAGCGTTACCAATAAAGATCACATGTATCACACCATTATGGCCTCTTCACCAGCCACTTGATTTTGTTGACTATGTGAGGCATTCCGAGAGTGGTAAGAAGCTATTACAGCTCTGTATCCCTGGATAATTCATTAGCCTCAGTAGGAAATCAAACCTTTGAGGACATGAACCTAGTTGTCGCCAAGGGAGAATTATAAGTCACCATAGAAGCATCCCCTTGGAACGAAACGTGAACTTATAGAGTTCTCACTTGCTCAAGTACCTTTGTATTAGCCGTCTGTTGGAGTCATCTCTCACCATTGATGATACCTCATCTTTGGCATGGGGATGGAGATGCTAAGCTGTCAGTAGGTATCGAGTGCTCCTTGGGGTGATTCGCGACCCGTGGTAGTCTGCCCCATGTGGACGAAGAACCTCTGGTTCTGCCCCTGGTATAACCTCAGCTGGAGACCATGCACTATAGCCTCAAGTTGCCCTCCTCAGGGGACACAAAGCCCTCTGTCACCCACCTGGGCGACTAACTTCACTGTCATCACCTGTGTCCCTACTCATGCAAGCACCAAGGTAAGAAGAAAAGTATGTACGGATGGTCATTTTGTGAAAAATGTATGGATGATCTTTCACAGTTGGTTGTACCTCATGAATAGTGGGATTACAAACGAACTGAGAAGCTTGTAGGATGAACGTTTACAAAAAGCCGACAATTGAAGAATTTGGCTCACTTACAGCATTGGAATTTTGTTGAACTGTTTGCACCGAGAGTGGAATTTATCAGTCTTATACCAAGGTAATTCTTAGACACTCAGAGGAAATCAAAACTTTGAGACAACCTTTCGCTCAAGGAGAATTTCAAGTCACGATAAAGCTCTCCTTGAACGAAACGTTGACTTAATACATTCTCACTCTGCTCCAAGTACCTTTGTATTACCTGTCTGTTGGCACATCTCTCAACACATTCGTATTTCCTCATCTTTGGCAGAAGGTGATGGAGGAGCTAAGCTGTTCAGTGTGTTCGGAGGTGTTCCTTGGGGGTGTTCGCGACCCCGTGGTGCTGCCCCAGTGTGGCCACACCTTCTGCCGTCCCTGTCTCCTCAGCCTGGAGACCATGCACTATAGCCTCAAGTGCCCTGCCTGCAGGAGGCGACACAAAGGCGCCTCTGTCACCCACCTCCCGACTAACTTCACTGTTCTCAACCTTGTTACCGCTACTCATGCAGCACCAAGGTAAGAAGAAAAGTATGTACGGATGTCATTCTGTGAAAAATGTGGAGATGTTTCACAGTTGGTGGTATCAGAGATGGATTAGCAAACGACTGAGAAGCTTGTGATGAATGGTTTGAAAAACCGACAAGTTGAAGATTGAGGCACTTATGCAGCATATGGGAATCTTTATTCAGGAAACGTTTCACCACACAGTGGCTTCATCAGTCCAATACAAAGAGGAAGGCGTAAGGAGAGGAGGAGTATGAGGTAATCAGTCCCTCAGCCTGGAGTCGATGTGTTCAGTCCATCAATCTTGTAGAAGGCTGAGGGACTGATTACCTCATACTCCTCCTCTCCTTACGCCTTCCTCTTTGTATTGGACTGATGAAGTCACTGTGTGGCGAAACGTTTCCTGAATAAAGATTCCCATATGCTGCATAAGTGTCTCAATCTTCAACTGAGAAGCTTAAAATTTGGTAATTAGGTACAAATAAATATATAGGCACTGAACCACGCATAGATAAATATATATTTTTGTAAATGAATTAGGCATAGATAAATACGTTATGGTAACTGAACTAGGCTCAAGAAATCGTAATGACACGATTGCAAACAAACCATACCCCCAGCCGGGATTGAACCCGCGGTCAAAAAACTCCAGCCCGTCGCGTTAGCCACTAGACCAGCTAGCCACAGCTGAGCTAGGCTCAGATGAAGCTAATATGATAACTGAACTAGACACAGGTTAATATATACTAACTAAACTATGCAGAGATAAATATAAAGGATCTTACTAGTATTAAAATATAGTAATAATAATAATAAATGATAATGACAATAAGGAGAAAATAATTATATAATGCAAACACTGCATCAACTAATTCTGACGGGTTTAGGTTTCATCTGTATCCCCGATACTATTGTTTTTTTATTACAGAATTATATAAATATAATCGGTAATATTATTTATATAAAAGTCAAAACTTAAAACATTAAATATTTTAAATTATTATTATTATAATCAAGGGGAAGCGCTAAAGTTAGTTTAATATGTTTATTATGCACCCCATACCCATCCTGTGGGCGGTAGTCAAAAGATTACAGAGGTACATAATGGGTCCAGGGACTGGACTCCAAAGTTTTGATAGCTGAGCAAGTTACAGAGGTAATGAACTCACAATTTACAAAGGTAATGAACTCACAATTTACAAAGGTAATGAACTCACAATTTACAAAGGTAATGAACTCACAATTTACAAAGGTAATGAACTCCAGGTAAGTCTGGTCACAATCATGACAAGTTACAAAGGTATTTACAGATTACTGAGGTACGTAATGGGTCCAGGGACTGGGCCCCCAAAGTTTTGATAGCTGAACTAGGTACAAAGGTAATGAGCTCACAAGTTACAAAGGTAATGATTTCTGTAGAATGGTTACTTACGTTTATACTTTGGCTACAATCATGAACGAATTATAGAGTAATGAGCAATTCACACTTCCACACCCGATCACAACTGTAATGAGTTATTGGTGCAAATATTGATTGTTGAGGATTATACAGCGCCTGGGAGGGATGTGGAAGGCATTCAGGCTTAATTCGGGGAACTGGAGCACAGATCCAATTCCCTAAATCAAGAGCCCCTCACCAACATCAAGGAACCTTCCCTGAGGGGCAAAATATTTTAAAGAAAAAGAGAGACATGGTAAATTTCTCTAAAAATCTTATGACTACTATACCGCTCGAGGGTCTTGAGGACCTGTGCTCCCTTACCTGGGTTGCCTCCCTTTCCTTGGATCTCACTTGATTGCTTTTCATTCCTAGGCACCTAACGAGGTTAAAGCTTTCCCTTAAATATATTTATTATTATTATTATTATTATTATTATTATTATTATTATTATTATTATTATTATTATTATTATTATTATTATTATTATTATTATCAAATAAAAACGCTAAACCTACAAGGGTCATACAGCGCCGCTTAAATATATTTAATGATAATAATAATACGTTCCTTTAAAAGCTTGAGCTGTATAGCCCTTGTGGCTTAGCGCTTCTTTTTGATGATAATAATTTAAAAGCTTGATTAAGTAGTTCCATCACCTTTTTACTTGAAGGTTATACACCGTGAGGCTAGGTCATGGACCGGGCCGCGGGGGCGTTGACCCCCCAGAACACCCTCCAGATATACTCCAGGTATAATCAGGCTTGACTGGAGGAAGGAGAGAGTAGCTTCAGTTTCTTGGATCAAGATCCATTTACAAAGATTAAATGGACCGAAACGTCGTCTAGTTTCGTCAGTTTGTGGGTTAGTTTTGAAGGATATGTTTGTGTCTTCAGCAAGGTACTGAGACGTGTCAGCAGCACGGTGACCCTGTGAGGCTATGGTGCCACCCGTGTCAGGAGGCACTCTGCGGACAGTGCCTCTTCGAGCGACACATGGCCGCCAGGCACCACGTAGTCAAGATCCAGTCAGTGGTGCGGGAGAAGAAGTTGAACATGGAGGCGCAGACGGCAGAGATGCTAGAGCAGGTGGAAGAGGAGCGGGCGAGCCTAGCCAAGGAGGTACACAGCATCGCTCATCACCTGGCTCGCATCCACTCAAGAAGCTCAGCTCTTAACAGGTACGTCACCGATGTGCACAGAATTCTGAAGGATGTCAGAAAGACCACGCGCATAGTGTCGGTGTTGGCAAACGAGAATAGCCTGGAATGCCTGTCTTTTCAACTGGGAAAAAAGCCTTGTGACGAAGCCAGAAAAAATGATGACAGTGACCGAGGGATGAGTGACAGTTCAGCGGCACCGCTCAGTCGAGATTGCTGTGACAACCAAGCTTATCTCTGTTTAAATAATTCTGATGTTTGCACAAGAAGCGACGATAAACACATCAACAATGACACCAATTCACATAGCCAGGAGTTGACTGACGGTGAAAACAATGTCCCAGCAACGGGGGCGGTTGTGGACGATGGTTACCCGAGAGATGGAGGAGTTAAAGACGATATTGATCTAGGTCTTCTTAATAGAGACAAGCAGGCCGGTGTGGGTGGACCTGAAACTGACGAAGACCAGGAGTGTGACCAGGTGTCTGAGACGGAGAGTAGGGTCAGGGTAAAGGGTGATATGACTATGTGGCCCTTGACACCGTGTGACCCAGCGGGAGCCTCGCCATGGCCACACATCGACTGGACACATTTTTACTACCAGGTAAGAGTAAGAGTAATTATGTAAGTATAGATGACAACGTATAGTCAAACTCATTTCTTTCTTTTATTTCTTTAAATATTTCGTATCTGCAAATTTATTAAATATAATGTAGCTTTATGAAACCTTTGCAATGTATTTAAAATCGGTAAAATGTTATGTGAAATACATAAAATGTGTTTATTTAATATGCAGTATAGATTCCAAGACGCCCAGCGTACTGCCTCACTTGTAAAACCTGCTGGCTCCCAAACGCAGCCTGATAGTGAAATTAAGAGTTGTCTTGACATTTTTGATGTGTTGCAGCTGCCCGTGGTACAGCTGCTGGTGCCGCCAGAGAAGCCAGAAGTGCTCATGCAGCTGGGTGTGGCAGGCAAATGTCTTGGGCGGGTTCACATTCGCCTATGGGGGCACCTGCGTCGCGCCCAGCACTTCCTGGCACTGTGTCTAGGCACCCTTGGGCCCTCCTACAAAGGCTCAAGATTCTCAAACGTGGCCAGGAAGGGTCAGCCTGGGGAAAGCTTAGTTGGTGGTCAGTACAGGACTGAGGGCGGCAGTTGTACCGCCAGGGGTCTGATGGAGGAGCTGGAATGGCGGGGTCGCCACTCCGGCCCGGTGAAGGTGGGGGTGCTAGGGGGAGCTAGCGACGGTAACCCTAATCTGGAGGCTTTTTTTGGTATCTGTACTCGGGACTACCCAGAGGGAGAATACTACTGCCCCTTCGGCGAGGTGGTGGCAGGGATGGATGTAGTTCAAAAGGCCGCGGCTCATGATCCCATCAGTGACGTCACTATTACCGGCATCACATCAGCTAACACTGATGCCTAACACCATCCATACCACCTTCAGTCCTCACTGTCCTCTTTATACAGTTTGTTACACTTTAAATTACCAAGAGCTGCACTTCGTCACTGATTACACCAAGGGACCTCGAGCCCTCCCAAGATACCTCAGTATGGATAACCTAACTAGAACCAAAACACTCCACCACTTCACTTAAGGTTATAAGTGTTAGTATAGTCATGGAATAGCCAATGAGGGGTTAAATTAAACAGACTAATAAATCTTACATTTTTTTTATTATAAAGGTAATGGACAATTAACTTGTACACATTATGTTTGAGGCAATGTAGTGATATTAATACTGAGAAGATTTAAGGTTCACAAGGGATAAATGCAATATTATATATATATATATATATATATATATTATATATATATATATATATATATATATATATATATAATTATATTAATTATATATATATATATATATAAATGCAGCCACGAACAAGAGGTATTTTAGCAATAACAAACTGCGGCTAACCCGGGGATTGAACCCGTGTTGTATTAGCCCGCCTCGTTGGAAGCAAATCAAAACTCAGGATGTTATAACAACACGTTTTAACCATGTCTGTCGTGCTTGACGCTAGACATCATAAAAGTGACGATCAAACACGACACCAGCCTAGTCTCCCACCAACAGTTAGGCAAACGTCAATATAATCCACCTTTACTAGTTTTCCTCCTGACACATCGTTACTAGACATAAAGTGTATTTTTCTACTCTAACTTAATTACCCTGATACAGCTTTAAATAAAGAGAATACAATTTGGAGAAAAAATAGGAAACGTGGAATGGCTGACATTGTATAGGCTTGTATACTGTATTTATAAATCTATATGTGGTTGTTATGATTGTAAATTATATCTTTGTTAACTAGTTGGTTAGACGATGTTAATAAAATGATTAGAAAACAAGTCTCTCAATACTGAAAAAAAATTCCCCGGCAACAATAATAGTGTATGTATACTGAGAGATGTATATGTGTACATCAGTGAATACACAAAAAATCGCGAAGCTATGCAAGATGCCCCTTGGTTGTTTTGCATACACTGATAAATATATTATTCAGTGTATATACACTGATAAATGTATTATTCATTTTACTTTTACAGGTGAATTCCAACCCTAATTGTCCATATGAAGTTTTTAATAGGTATTAAACTCGGCCAACTAAGAGCAGCAGCAGAGTGGAGGTGGCTGGCAACACCAACATTAAAGCTTCTCTGTGTCCTGCCAACCAGCTGTCTGCCCTAACACTGCACCAGCTGATCCTGTTGACACTGCTGCAACTGTTGTCATTATTGCTCCTGTTATATCACCACTTCTACTGCTGTTGTTGCTGCCACCACCACTACTTCTACTACTCTTGTTATCATTACTTCTACCGCTATTACTGCTGTTGCTGTCGCCACTATTCCTGCTCCTGTTGCTGCCACTACTACTACTGCTTCTGTTGCTGCCACTACTACTACTGCTCCTGTTGCTGCCACTACTACTACTGTTCCTGTTGCTGCCACTACTACTGCTGCTCCTGTTGCTGCCACTACTACTACTGCTCCTTTTGCTGCCACTACTACTACTGCTCCTGTTGCTGCCACTACTACTACTGCTCCTTTTGCTGCCACTACTACTACTGCTCCTGTTGCTGCCACTACTACTACTGCTCCTGTTGCTGCCACTACTACTACTGCTCCTGTTGCTGCCACTACTACTACTGCTCCTGTTGCTGCCACTACTACTACTGCTCCTGTTGCTGCCACTACTACTACTGCTCCTGTTGCTGCCACTACTACTACTGCTCCTGTTGCTGCCACTACTACTACTGCTCCTGTTGCTGCCACTACTACTACTGCTCCTGTTGCTGCCACTACTACTACTGCTCCTGTTGCTGCCACTACTACTACTGCTCCTGTTGCTGCCACTACTACTACTGCTCCTGTTACTACCACTACTACTACTGTGCCTGTTACTACCATGACTACTACGCTACTGCTGCTGTAGACACTGAGCTTCCTTGATATGTGCTGCTAGTCACTCGACACTAAAAACCGTAAGTCACCTACAAATTATGTCTTAGATAAGCTGCATACACAGATTTTATCGCATATACTGTACCTCTGCACTATTTTAATATGCACATACATTAAACTATATAGACGTAGTAATGTTAACTTAAATACACAGCTTTATTCAGATGAAACTGACTGATGTTTCTTCAGATAGACATTGTATCTTTCTACAATAGTTTCTTATGTTCTTGATTTATAGTTATCTTTATATAACGTATACCAGCAGTTATGTTTGGTATTTGCATTTATTTTTTTTTACATTTTGCATTACTAATAGCATATTTGATATGAAGATGACATAAATATATGCATAAATAAAATATAAAACATAGGGCCTCCAGAAAATAAATTATTTAGCTTCTCTACGTTCTTGGAGGTCACCATCTTCACCTGTCATTATTAGTTACTCGGAGTGCAGCAGCGTCGTGCTAAAAATTCGAGTTATTGCCTTCCATTTCTTTAGCTTTATTAATTCGGTGATTTTTTGTACCCTTAGTCTTCAACTGATTTATGTTGTTACTGTCTCTGACATAGGCAAGCCACTCAAACCTCGCAGAGTTTACAAAAACCAAGGTACTGGATCCAAGGCTGCATGTCTTTTGACCAGATTCGAGGACATGATTTAATTTCAGCTGTTCCACTGCCACTTTTAGCTTTTCCATTTCTGCCACTCATTCTGGTCTGTGTCTCTGATGTCGGTCCAAGGAAAGGGAGCTAACCTTTCCTTCCCTCCCTTATAAATATACCAAAAACAATCTTGATCTGATTTTTTACTCCATTACCCAAAATGGATTTTGCCTTATTGTCGATAATTTATAGAATATTTTCTGGATTGCTGACCTGATATAGAGAAATTATCCTGGTATTCATTTTTTTAACAGTGTCCACAATCAATTCACCTCATAGGCAAGAATCGGAGAGTACGTATTCAAAAACATTCTAATATATCGTAGTGGTAGGCTGTTCGTTACGCAGTTCTACTCCCCCCCCCCCCAAAAAAAAAATCATTAAAAATATTGTTTAATTTTTATAGATGCAAAATCAGCTTGTTGGAAATTTTCAATTATTTACGCAAGAGGTCGTATACAGTACTATGGGTGGTTTACATAGAAATGCCAAAATGACGACTCCAGTTCAAATAACATGCTAGCTATATAATAGCATGCTATTTAAGTGATAGCATGCTTTGAGTCAAAGGATGATAGACATGTAAATGCTACTGCCAAAATATGTGTATTAATTCCCAATAACATCACTGACTCATGTTTTTGGTTTGGCTTCTTCTATGAGCGTGAGCAGGAAGTCTGAGCTAGGGTGATGGAAGTGCTGACGTGTTCAGTGTGTTCGGAGGTATTCGATGGGGATGTTCGGGAGCCAGTGATGCTGCCCCAGTGTGGCCACACCTTCTGCCGTCCCTGTCTCCTCAACCTGCAGGACACAGAGCCAGCCTTCAAGTGTCCTACTTGCAGGAGAAGGTACTCTGGTCCTCATGTAGTCGACCTTCCCGTGGTCTACATGATCCTTGACATAGTGGCAACTTATGCTGCTATGAAGGTGGGTCTTTTTTTATATAGCTTATGTGGAATTTTTTTTACATAAGTTCCTAAATGTAGAACTTACGAATGACTAATACAATAATTGTGTAATAAAATATGATGCTCTTTGGACCCTTCGAGAAATTTCGAGGGAGGGGGGTGAAGGACAGCCGGGGGAGAGACGCCATATTGAATTTAATGTGTGAGGACTGGTCTTAACTGTGCGATATAAATCATATAATTCGGTGTTTTCCGAAGCCAATTTGGTGTATATTGGCCTCAATTCGTAATTTAGAAATTGCTGACACGTTCCTGCTGAAGAACTGGGACAGGAAATTTGCGGGACCACAAGAATTGCGTGTGGAGGATGGAAATATAGAGGACTTCAAGGAATCCTTCCCAACAACACAGCTAAGTGACACCCATAATTACAGTAGTTTTTGCGTTGGCCATCGTAAATCCTAGCTGTTAGGGTGTGTTTCATCAGCATCAAGTGTCTTCCAGCAATTAAATGGTAAGTGGTAATAAAAAAATAATTTTAATACAAGTAATTTATGTATAATAATCATATTCTGTGTACCCAGCAAGCAAGCCTAATCACATACAATCCACTGAACTTAAATGTACCAGAGTAGCTGGTTTTAATTTTATAATCATTAATTTAATGTCAGGTCTAGCTTTTTGTGAAAGTGGTGAAGAAGTGAGCAATCGAAGGAGTTTCAGTTCACTGACCTACTGTGACTTTCCCTCTTACCTCAACCAAATTACTTGCAGATAATAATTCAGGTGATGCCCTGTAAACCTCCTGCAGGTAATTTGGCTCATAATAAAAATAATTTTTCACAGCCTATGTTCATGGGGTATAATACACTTAAGTGGTTTGTTTCTCAATTTGTATACATCGGGTTGAATTTAATCCCAAATTTATCTGTTAAAGTATTCTCGATGTTAGTGTACAGGTGAAATACGGCCTTAATTGACCCTGTTGTAATCAGAGCCTTAAACTTTATTAACAAATGATATATATTCACACACACATATACATATACACACACAGGTAAAAATCTGCAGCTCACTGCTCATCTATACTTTTCCCCGATAATAAATTTATTTGGTTAACTTTAGGCGCCAGCAGAGGACCTGTGGGAAGCATGTCAGAATCACGGTGACCCTGTAAGGTTGTGGTGCCACCAGTGCCAGGAGGCACTCTGCGGCCAGTGCCTCTTCGAGCGACATATGACTGACAGACACCACGTCGTCAAGACACAGACAGCTCTTGAGCAACAGAAACACCTAATACAGTTGCAGGCTGATCGTCTTACTAAATATATCAACATGGAAAGGAAACGTTTGACAAACGAGTTTCGTAAAGTATGCCTGCAGCTTGCCAACATATACAGTCAGAGCATGATCCTCGGCGAGCACTCTAAGACTATCACTGGCATCCTAGAAGCCACGGAGAAGACTGAACACATGAAGACCTTGGTCATCAATCGCAGGATATTAAATAAGCTTCTAACGGAACTTAAGGCGACTGTCAGTACCACTTGTGACCCTCAGCTGATCAACGACTGCATCCCTTCAGAAAATAGAACTGACAGCGAAGGTGACACGGAATCTCGCCTGAGTTCACCTGGATTTGGGGTGAAAAGCAACTTTCGAAAGGCTCCCCGTGACACTCCCATCGAAGCAGGCGGCCATGATTCAGACATGGAGGAAGAAAGTGAAACCTTAAGTCAAGAGGATAGCCAAGGGATAGAGATAGCCCAAGAGGAAAGTCGGATAGATGCAACTCAGGAGGAAAGTCAGATAGATGTAGCCCAGAAGGAAAGTCAAGGAAATGTATCCCAGAAGGAAAGTACAGAGATAGATGTAAACCAAGGTCAGATGGATGTAGCCCCGGAAGAAAGTCAAAAAGGTTTAGCCCAGGAGGGAAGTCATAGAGATGTAGCCCAGGAGGGAAGCCATAGAGATGTAGCCCAGGAGGGAAGCCATAGAGATGTAACCCAGGAGGGAAGCCATAGAGATGTAGCCCAGGAGGGAAGCCATAGAGATGTAGCCCAAAAGGGAAGCCATAGAGATGTAGCTCAGGAGAGAAGTCATAGAGATGTAGCCCAGGAGAGAAGTCACAGAGATGTAGCCCAGGAGAGAAGTCATAGAGATGTATCCCAGGAGAGAAGTCATAGAGATGTAGCCAAGGAGGGAAGCCATGGAGATGTAGCCCAGGAGGGAAGCCATAGAGATGTAGCCCAGGAGGGAAACCATAGAGATGTAGCCAAGGAGGGAAGCCATGGAGATGTAGCCCAGGAGGGAAGCCATAGAGATGTAGCCCAGGAGGGAAGCCATAGAGATGTAGCCCAGGAGGGAAGCCATAGAGATGTAGCCCAGGAGGGAAGCCATAGAGATGTAGCCCAGGAGAGAACTCATAAAGATGTAGCCCAGGAGGGAAGCCATAGAGATGTAGCCCAGGAGAGAACTCATAAAGATGTAGCCCAGGAGGGAAGCCATAGAGATGTAGACCAGGAGGGAAATCATAAAGATATGGCCCAGGAGGGAAGTCGTGGAGATGTAGCCCAGGACGGAAGTCATAGAGATATAGACCAGGAAGGAAATCGGATAAATGTTGCTCCGGACAATCTTCAAGTGCCACTTGTGAGGGAGGATATCGAACAAATTCAAGAAATGACTCTGGATGACGTTCAGGAACCACAGAGGAGGATGGGGGAAGCTGGTAGCTCAGCTCTGGGGTACTCTGTGTGGCCGCTCACCAGGTGTACCCCAGGTGGCAGTGCTCACTGGCCTAAACTCAGTTGGGGCCACTTCATGGCACAGGTAACTTCCTCTTGTATTCTTTCACTCATTCACTCTTTTTGTATGAATACATATATAAAAGCTAAGTATGTAGATAATTAACACACAGCTTTCCGCTTTCGAAACAAACTCAGTATTCCTTTAACCTATGTAACAGTGACTAAATCCTTGATCTGCTTTCTTAAAAGAGGGTCGTGTGATTTTGCAGCTTCCTGTGGTACAGCTGTTGGTGCCGCCAGAGAAGCCACAAGTGTTTCTACAGCTAGGTGTAGGAGGCAGAAGTTTGGGCAGCGTCCACATCCGTCTGTGGGGACATTTGCGCCGCGCTCAGCACTTTTTAGCACTGTGTCTGGGCACCCTAGGGCCCTCCTACAAGGGTTCACGGTTCATGTACGTGGCCCGGAAGGGGCAGCCCGGGGAACGACTGGTCGGGGGGGTATACGTGGTGGAGGGAGGTGGCAGCAGCAGCCACCAGCTAATGGAGGACCTGGAGTGGAGGGGGGAATACTTGGGCCCCGCTAAGGAGGGAATCGTTGGGGGTTCACGAGGCCGTCAAGCCAAATACAACTCATGTTTCTGTATCAGCTCGAGGGACAACCCCACAGGACAGTATTATTGTCCATTTGGGCAAGTTGTGTCCGGGCTGGAAGTGGTGAGAGCGGCTGTCCAGCACCACCCAGTCAGTGACGTCACCATAATGGACACTGGCCTTGTCAGCACACGCGAGTAATGTCCACGGGGTCCCACAATATGACTGGAAATCTCGAGTCTAGTGACTTTCTTGATACGATTCAAAATTGCTTTTTAAAACAGTTTGTGACAGAACCAACTAGAGGAAACAATCTGCTTGACTTGGTTCTTGTCAACAAGGAATCTCTAGTTAATAATCTTGAGGTTAATGATGAGCTTGGGGAAAGTGATCACAAATCACTTAGTTTCAATATATCATGGAATTACCCAGATAATTGCAATCAAATCTGTCGAAGACTTCCGCTTGGCCGATTTCATGGGACTGAGAAATTACCTAGGTGGGTTAAATTGGAACGACCTGACAATGGGTCAGGTAGATGGTGTTGGTTTGCCACTATTTATTCTGTGATTTCTATTCTCTGTATTGGATTGATAAAGCATTGGTTGGCGAAGCATCTTAATAAATGGCCTAATAAACTACACGTGTCTTTCTTACATACTTGTTGGTGTTAATAACCATTTGTAACTGAAGAGGGAGTCTTCAAGAAGGTGAGTGAGGGAGTCTGAAAGAAAATCATCAATTTACAATAAATAGGACCAAATCCTTGGTCACATTATGTGCATCTTGTTCCTAGTTGCAGGAAACAGAGAAATCTGTTAATAGAGGCTAAGGACCAACATGGCTCTACACAGCCTACTAACATGCACATCGCATATACATTTACAAATAGGCTGACTTAATACAGCTGTACTTAAAGAGAGAAGTCGTCTGTATAAATAGGTTTATTCTGATTAAAATGTATTTTTACCATATCTGTGGGCATGTCTTGCCATCTGACAAGCACTCGTGCCTCTTGCTGAAGGACTCGACCCTCAAGGGAGGTTCCTTGACTCTGGTGAGGAACTCTTGATCTAGGGAGTTGGATCTGTGCTCCAGTTCCCTAAATGCCTTCCATCCCCTCCAGGCGCTGTATAATCCCTACGGGTTTAGCACTCCCCATGATTATAATAATGAAGGGCTCTTGATCCATGAACAGCGCTGTATGGCCCTGGTGGGTTTAGCGCTCAGTTTTGATTATAATTGATCCATGAAACGAGCAACGCTTCCCTCCCAAGCGCTCTATGACCCGTACGGTTTAGCGCTTTTCTATTAATATAATCCCCTCAAGGGAGGTTCCTTGACGTTGGTGAGGGGCTCTTGATCTAGGGAATTGGATCTGTGCTCCAGTTCCCCGAATTAAGCCTGAATGCCTTCCACATCCCCCCCCCAGGCGCTGTATAATCCTCCGGGTTTAGCGCTTCCCCCTTGATTATAATAATAATAGGGAATTGGATCTGTGCTCCAGTTCCCTGAATTGAGCCTGAATACCTTCCATCCCTCCCCCCCCCACATGCGTTGTATAATCCTAAGGGTTTAGCGCTCCCACATGATTATAATAATTATAATAATATGAATATAATAACTATCCCTCAAAGAAGGTTCCTCGATGTTGGTGAGGAGGCTCTTGATCTAAGGAACTGGACCAATGCTTCAGTTCCTTGAATCAAACCTGAATGCCTTCCACTCTATGACCCTTATGGGTTTAGTGCTCCCCCATGAATGTAATAATATTAACTCAATGTTCAGCCTAAACGCACTCTGCGGATGACGAAGACTTTGCATAGAACAGAATGAAGAAACACTGTAGCAGGCCTATACCATTTATTTTCAGGCCTATTGCCCCATGCTAGGCAAGTTCATGACTCACGAAATCGTAATGACACGATTGCAAACAAACCATACCACGGGTCGGGATAGAACCCGTGATCAGTCTCAAAACTCCAGACCGTCGCGTTAGCCACTATTTTTTTTTTTTTCTAGGCAAGTTCTTTTCACTTCCAGCCAACCCCATTCATATACCAGTCCAATGAAGTGTAATAAACACTTGTCTGTGCTCAATAATAACCTACATGGAGACAGAAACACGGAAGATTAATTGATCTGAAAATTTCGATCCCCTTCTGGGATCCTCTTCAACAGATACATTAGTAATGTATGACCCTTATGGGTTTAGTGCTTAGTTACGATAATGTAGCTCTCTTCACCTTTATCTGGCGGTGTATTTTAGTATCATCGGCAAACTTTAATAGCAATAATACTTTGTATTTCTACAAGTATATGTACAAGGTATACAGTCCTAACTGACATCAGTGACATACTACTATATAGAAAGTCACTTGTTATGCCGAGCATTTCGGGCAAATTAGGTCAGTTTTTGCCCAGGATGTGACCCACAACCAGTCGACTAACACCCAGGTACCCAGTTACTGATAGGTGAACATAGGCAACACGCACAATGTTTCAACCCTCACCGGGAATCGAACCCGGAATCACCGTATGAAGCGGTTTTTGCCACCAGGCCATGGGAGGCAATCAGATCTGATTCGAGGAAGGGAATGATGGGTCCAGTTTCTTGGATCAAGAGCCCTTCAATAGCTTTTAAGGGATATGGAGCGTTCTCTTAAATTGTTAATGTTGTTTGCTTTGGCAGGAGTTGTTGAAGGACCACCGTGGCATATGCCATACGAGTCCTGCTTTTCTTAAAAAAAAAAATAAGCGGGAACAAACAACTCGCACGTAGAAGATTAAAATTTGTGGCGACGTTTCGGTCCGACTTAGACCATTAACTAGCCACAGCGTTACTAGATAATGGAAAGAAGCCAAGGACCCCAATGGAAATAAGTCACTTTGTATTTTTTTTTGGGGGGGGAGAGGGTGGTTATCCTAGGAAATTTACACTATGTATGATAACTGTACCTAAATAAACTTAGATGTTAGACTGAAACGTCGTCAAAAGTTTCAGTCTCCTATAAGCGAGTTATTTATGCATTGTTCCACCCACGGCACTGCGCCTTTTTTTTTATTCTTTATGCAAAACGACTGTAACCATCCAACACTGCACAAAACTGTACCCGAATAAACTTGCTTCCCGACCTCCCTCGAGGGGGAAACTAAAACTAAAAAAAAAAATCGAAAAAAAAATTAATGTTGTCCATGTGTTCCTTAACGCTTTGCAAGGAGGCGTGTGATTGGCGGGTGTGAGGGTGTGCTGTGATTGGCTGGTAGCAGGTGCGGCAGCTGTCTCACACAACAACAACAAAGATGGAGGCGTGCACTGCTGTGGGCAGGGAAATTGACAAAGTATTGTCCAAATTTACATCTTACAGTGAGCATGCATCCAGCACAATCGCCTCGCTGCGCAGCAGTATTGAAAGCCTTCAGCTGGAGATTAGTGAAGGTGAGGGCACACAGGGAATACACTGTAACTGCGTTCAAACAATGGAAGGGAAAAATGCGTTTCTAGTTTTTCCTGGTATATGGCTGGTAACGCCAATGTGTTGCATTTTTTTGTGTGCATTGTTGCTATTTGTTCGGTCATTGAGTAAGGTTCATATACATTTTAAGTCGCTTTTAGTTGGTATTCGTTGTATAATTGAAATAAACCCTGCCATTTGTCTTGGGTTATCGTAGGTTAAATCTTAATTTATCATCCTTTTTGGATTAATACTGTCCTCTGCATCCATTACAAAACTTAAAACAGCAGTCTGTAGAAAGCACATATTTAATTATCAACAAGTACATTTTTTTTTTATTTTGGACATATGTAGACCAAAGAAAACCCGAAACAAATCTTATTCATGAAGTGGGGGAAGAGGAGGTTATATTTTACTAAATCACAATAAGCTTGCCACCTGGGGCACTCACTGACCCAAAGACTCGATGATTTCATTGGATGTCTTTGTCTTTTGTTTTTATCACCTCTTTTAGGAAGTGCTTAGATGTTGAAGGGCCTTTGATCAAAAAAATTAGCATGTATCTCTTCCTTGGATTAAAGCTAATTATGTACTGTACCTCCCATTCCCTAACTGCTGTATGACTCATAACCCTTATGGTTTTAGCCCTTAATTTGATTATTATAATAAAAATGTATGACTTATCAGTTTGATATTTCCCTATGACTTTTAAATTACAATACTAATGCAGCATTATCACTAGCATATTAATAAAAACACAAGGATAATTTAAAGAGGACAATAGGGTAAAGCCTATCCAAACCTCTCCCATCTTTCAGACCAAACAAATCAAACTTCCATCTAACCTACATACATTAGAGACTTTGTAAATGGTCCAAGTCGGACCGAAACGTCGTCATAAGCTTCTCTCTTTTATGTGCGGGCTATTTGTGTATTGTTCCAGTCATGGTATTGTGCCTTTTTTTGTTATTAGAGACAACAATTTCCTTATGAAAACCCAGATTATCCTTAACAAAGCAAAATGATACAGAATCATTCCACTAGATCTTGCATTATTTTTACTCTGTATATACAAAGAAGTTATATGACATTTTATCATTTTAATATACGTACTACAGTACTGTACAACAGAGAGCAGGTAACTGCTAGTAAGCATTTTATTGAACTTAAATGTGAGAAACTTAATCTATTTTTGAAGGTTGTGAACACAGAAGCACTTGGTAAACTAGTTTTATTATCAATGTTTCAGTGAGAAATTTGTAGTTATGAGAAATTTTCTTAATATTAGTTTCTTAATATTATAAAGGACCCCAGATTGACTGATTTCTTTTTCATAATATAGTCAAACCTTCATATAACTGACCCCAGTTTAATGAATTCTGGATTAAAAGGCCAAAATCTGTTAAATCCAGAATTGTTCATTATTGTTACAATCATGGATGAACAATCTCATTCTCAGGTTTAATTAACAGACAGCCAACTTTAACAGATACCCCCTTTGCCCCCTTTCGAAGGATCACTACAAGTGTGAGCCATCATAGTTGTCCAGGATGACTTACATATTAGTTGCCTACAGTTGTTTAGTTCAGATTTTTTTTTTTACCTATTTGTTGTTGAGCAAATATTGAGTTTGCTTAATACAGTACAGCCTCTCCTCACTTAACGATGGGGTTCCGTTCCTAAGACCACATCGTTAAACGAATTTGCGCTAATTAGGAGCTATTATAAGGGGGTTTGGTCATCCTCTTTGATATTATTTTTTTTCCTTTTTCACCATTTTTTAACATTTTTGTACATTATGTACATAGGTACTGTACAGGGGCCCTGGTTTAAAGGCATTCCGTTAATACGGAATTTCGATTATACCGAAACTTCTTACCTCCCCCTACCTGACTTTCTAATAAGGTCACCAGCTCTACCCATTTTTTTACATTCCCGTCACTCAATGTCTTCCCCTTATGCCTGGAAAATTTCCAAAATTTCAAGTGTTTTAGAGTTTTCATATTTTATATATATGTACTCTGATAATTATACTTATGTGTCCCTTCCCTCAGTAAACTTTATGCATATATGTGTACAGGCACAACATTAAAATCACTAAGAGTATCCTATGTCTTGAGAATGCCATATTAATAATGATAATAACAATAATACTCACTTGGAGACACATTCAATGTCATATAGTACATTAATATACACATTTTCATTAATCCATCTATGATATTTTTTTCAGAATTATATAATAAACATGCTATGTAACATAAATGTGATAAATACACCCCACAGTAGAATAAATTAACATAAATATAGTTCAACACCAAAGAATGTATGTACACAATAATATTACTGGGGGTAACTGTAGAAAATTTTTCCTTTCATATGCCTTCACTCAGAGTGTCACTTCTTCTAAAACTGGTATTACATGAGACTGGGAGCGTTGTTCTTTATTGTTTCTACTGTACCAACGTGGAGACAACTTGTACACAGTGTAAAGTGTTAGTATTATGGTATAATACAGACGTGTATGAACCAAAACCAGACGCCTTCATCTGTTTACAAAACTCCGCGTTTCACCACCCCTCTCCCACTGCTGGTGGGGTGGGGTGGGGGTGGCCTGGCTGGCTATCATACCAACCACACCTGATTTCTTCCAATAAATACTACTCATTTCACCATACATTAAGACTACAAAAATTTTAAGGTAAGTAATGAGTGAACTGTATATGCATTTTATCACTCTTGGATGCTTTAACCCTTTCAGGGTTGGTGCCTTACTATTTTTTTTTTATTATCACACTGGCCGATTCCCACCAAGGCAGGGTGGCCCAAAAAAGAAAAACTTTCACCATCATTCACTCCATCACTGTCTTGCCAGAAGGGTGCTTTACACTACAGTTTTTAAACTGCAACATTAACACCCCTCTTTACTAGTACGCATAAATTCTAGCACCTTCAAATCTAGCGAGAGAAAGCTGGTAGGCCTACATATGAAAGAATGGGTCTATGTGGTCAGTGTGCACAGTATAAAAAAAATCCTGCAGCACAGTGCATAATGAGAAAAAAAAAACTCCGATTGTATTTTTGGTTTAAAACAGCGACTTTGCAGTGTATTTTTGTATGCTATTTATTGTTGTATTCTAGATTTCCTGGTCTTATTTTATAGAATGGAAGACATATTATGGAAATTGAGATGATTTTGATTGATTTCACAATGAAAAGTACCTTGAAATTGAGGTCAAAGTAGCAGAAATGTTCGATTTTTGCCAAAGTTCAAAGGTAAACAAATCATGCCACACGTCCAATACACGTCAACTGGTGAGTGTAATATTCTTTCACATGTGCCCTGATATTATTTATACAATTTCTACGCCATTTCTACATGAATGCAGTAGTCTGCTGCCATAAATCTTCTATTTTTTGTGAGAATAAAAATTCAAAGTAGAAAGTAAAAGAAATGCAACAGAGGCCTGGGGACATGAGTAATGAACAGAGGAAATGTTATTTTAGTGCCAGAAATGTCTGTCTTGTTTATTCTGGACCCTATTTGGAAATTGGCATCTTTTGAAATTTGTGTGAAATTGGCAAAATTGCCAATTTCTGACCATGTTATTGAATAGTGGAAACCGGTAAATGGGTGGTTTCTTGTACTCATTCGATAGAAAAAATGGAGTTCTAGCGAAATACATATGATTTTTGTCAACTGGTACATTGAAATTGGCCGAAAATAGGGCTCAAAGTGGGCGAAATTACCGATTCGTAAACATCGTCGAGACCGCTAAATTCACGAGAGCATAACTCTAAGTTTTCCATCAAATTTCATACTTTTGGTGTCATTGTGATCGAGAAAAGATTCTCTATCATTTCATAAGAAAAAATAATTTTTTTTTTCTCAAAAAATTTCTGACCCTGAGAACAAGTCTAGGAGGGGCCCTGCCGACCCTGAAAGGGTTAAGTGTCATAGTATATTATTTGTTGGTGTGGGGAGGGTGGCCTGGCTGGCAACCATACCAACCACACCTGATTTCTTACAATAAGTACTACTCATCTTACCCTACTTTAAGACTACAAATATTTTAAGGTAAGTAATGAGTGAACTGTATATGCATTTTATTGCTCTGAGATGCTTTAAATGTGTTAGTATATACTTGTGGTTAGGGCAGGGTGGGGGTGGCCTGGCCTTGCTATCATACCTACCACACATGAGTTCTTACAATAAATACTACTCATCTTGCCTGATTTCTGCTTTACAGCGGTAGCCTGGAACCTAACCTGCCATATAATTGGGGCTCTACTGTATATTGAAATACAGAATAGAGGAAATCAGCTCTAATATACATTATTTAGGTATAAATACTGGTCAGAGAGCCCGTCGTAAATCTGAGGCGTCAGCAAATAACTACGTTGCTAAGTGAGGAGAGGCTGTATTGTTGTTTTACAGATGGGTCCAGTATTTGATAATACCCTAGCCAAGTACAGTAAACGTATATTGTATTCAAAGAATTGACTGTCCATGAATTGGCAGTAAACAGTTCCAACCAATAGGGATTTACTTTTTGGCAACATTTAAACCCACAGGTTTCTGCAGCTATGCATTTTATAAGTCTGGTTTTGGATTATAAGTCAAGTCATCCCTTACTAGAACATACACCTCTTCTGTTTGTCTTAGCATTATATGCTGTAACCTTTTGCTTTGGCATCTTCATCTGAAATGGAGATTACAGTAGCCTTAATTTTGCATGCTAGAATTTTAACTTCTTACAGTTGTTGCTGTCGAGTTTTTGAAGAACAGTGTTGACCCCAGTTTCTTGTTGCCCAGGGAGGCAGTATTGCCCAGATCTGGGTGGTTAAAGAAAAGTCAACAATTCTCTTTCGGAATAGAAATTCCAACAGTTTTAGTAAGACTGATATGTATGAAATGCTGACTCCTCTTATAATTTATGTAAATTCATTTTCATCATTCTTCAATACAATGTAGTTTGTTGTCAGAGTTTGTGCACACCTTATCTAGATCAGTATTATTAATACAAAACCTGGTTGGTTTTGAATACATGTCAGAGTGAAATTATTTAATTTTTCAAATATGTATGTACGCTGTTGCAGGTAGTTATTACTTTTATATAGCAGCTCTAGAATCCTTGTGTTCTGTTTCAGTAGGAAGTGGAGATATAACAGAAGCTCAGGCAATGATTTTGAGTCAGGCTATTGGCCGTGTGAAGGAAGCTGTGACACGCTTAAGTACTGAACACAGAGACCTTCATTCTTCTGTCTCCAAAGTTGGCAAAGCTATTGATAAGGTACAGTAAGGAATTTGAGTAATTATAAATGACCATTTAATTTTGAAATGCTGTACAGTGGTTAAAATAGACTAGGAAAATTCAGTTACTTAGTTTGCTGTTTAACATATTTTGTGTATTTTTCAGAATTTTACATCAGACTTTAGCTGTATTAGTAATGACTCAGTATTCACTGGAGAAAAACAACAGCTTGTGAATGAAGTAATTTGTCAGCATTTCTTTCGGGAAGGGCTACTGGACATTGCTGAGGAATTCATTAGTGTATGTATATATTTTTTCATGCTATAAAATGATATTCTAGTTTTGTTTACTTCTTTATGCATGAAAATTCAGTAGTCAGTATTATGTAAATCTGAAGAGAGCTTGAAACCTCACTGTACAAGTAAATCATTTTTTTTTTTCTTTCAAACACACATACAGGGCTGGCCACATAATGCAGCACTGCAAGTTGAGAGAGTCCTAATGTTATTAGGATAGGTTTGTATGCAAATACTTACTGATATAGAATAAAGAAAAAGAGTGGATGACTAAAGCAAGTGGATGGATTTTTATTGAACACTTGAACCTTATTGAACCTTAAAAATCCAAATGAATGTGTGCTTATGTATACTGTAGAATTTTTGAAAAAAGATGTACCTGGATATTCTGAAAATAGGAAACAGCTCTTTAATTTTATTTTCCAACATGCTGGCTGTCTCCCATCAAGGCTGGGTGACCCAAAAAAGAAACACTTTCACCATCATTCACACATAATCACTATATAGTCCTTATAAATGTGCCAAACATTTTCTCATCATCCTTCATTCACTGTTTTATGTGTACTTGTACTCGTGTAGGCATAAAATTGTACCCAAAGATTTGGTTCAACTAATCTGCTCATTCATAATTATCATTCTTGCAGGAAATTGCCCAGCTATACATATACCTTACTAACCCATTGTTGTTGTTCACATATAAATGTAACTGATTAATAATAAAAAAGAAGTCCCACTGGGAATCTTCATTGATTTACGTAAAGCCTTTGATATAGTTGACCATGATTTGCTCCACATAAAATTGTCGCACTATGGTATAAGAGGGCACTCCCTCAACTACCTAAAGTCATACCTCAGCAACAGAAGCCAATATGTGTACACAAATGGAGAAAACTCTTCTGCACAGCCAATTACAGTTGGTGTCCCACAGGGAAGTGTCCTTGGCTCTTCTCTTTCTCGTTTACATAAATGACCTACCAAATGCATCACAATTACTCAAACCCACACTATTTGCAGATGACACTACATACGTCTTTCACCCGAGCCCAGTCATGCTAGCCAATACTGTAAATACCGAATTACAGAAAATATCTACCTGGATGATGACTAACAAACTTACTCTCAACATTAACAAAACCTACTTCATTCAGTTTGGTAACAGAGCTACAGATGTCCCTCTTAACATAATGATAAACGGATCACCTATCACAAAGCTCACAGAGGGAAAATTCTTAGGAATCCACCTTGATAATAGACTCAGATTTCAAACACATGTACAACAAATTTCCAAGACCGTAGGCATACTATCGAAGATACGGTACTATGTTCCACAGTCAGCCCTTCTGGCCCTATATCACTCACTTATTTACCCCTATCTCACCTATGGAATTTGTGCATGGGGCTCAACAACAATAAACCATCTCAGACCACTAATTACCCAACAAAAGGCTGTAGTCAGAATGATAACGAATTCCCACTACAGGCAGCACACTCCATCAATATTCAAAACTCTAAACCTACTCACCATACAGAACATCCATACTTATTATTGTACTTACTACATACATAGAACACTTAACTCGGATATAAACCCTCCCCTCAAACCTCTCCTTACCAACCTCAACAGAACACAGGACCATAACACAAGGCACAGATCACTCTTTGATGTTCCTCATGTCCATCTTCTTTATGAGATACAATTATTCAGTATTTATGTTTAGGGTGAGTAAGTGATTTTTAAGAAGAGACTTGAATTTATAAACAGACAGTGTTTCTTTTATATTCACAGATAAGTGGAATTGCATTGAGTTTTTGCATAGTGTGAGATATACCTTACCTTGATATACTTTTGAAGAATTTCGAGAGTATATCTACTCTCTGAGCCCGGCCATGGGCCAGGCTCGTCTAGTGCTCGCCTGGTCAACCAGGCTGTTGCTGCTGGAGGCCCGCTGCCCCACATACCCATCACAGCCTGGTTGATCTGGCACCTGGTGAAGATACTTGTCTAGTTTCCTCTTGAAGGTTTCAATACTTGTTCCAGCAGTGTTTCTGATATCTTCTGGTAAGATGTCGAAAAGTCTGGGACCCCGGATGTTGATACAGTGTTCCCTTATTGTCCCCACCACACCCCTGCTCCTCACTGGGTTTATTTTACACTTCCTCCCATATCTCTCACTCCAGTATGTTGTTATGGCAGTGTGCAGAGTTGGTACTCGAGGGCTTGGTCCCAAATCTGCACACTGCCATAACAACATACTGGAGTGAGAGATATGGGAGGAAGTGTAAAATAAACCCAGTGAGGAGCAGGGGTGCAGTGGGGACAATAAGGGAACACTGTATCAACATCTGGGGTCCCATACTTTTCAACATCTTACCAGAAGATATCAGAAACACTGCTGGAACAAGTGTTGAAGCCTTCAAGAGGAAACTAGACAAGTATCTTCACCAGGTGCCAGATCAACCAGGCTGTGACGGATATGTGGGGCAGCAGGCCTCCAGCAGCAACAGCCTGGTTGACCAGGTGAGCACTAGACGAGCCTGGCCCATGGCCAGGCTCAGAGAGTAGATATACTCTCGAAATTCTTCAAAGGTATATCAAGGTAAGGTATATGTCACACTATGCAAAAAACTCAATGCACATAAAAGGCCCAAAAATCTGGAATTCATTACCTGTGAATATAAAAGAAACACTGTTTGTCTATAAATTCAAGTCTCTTCTTAAAAATCACTTACTCACCCTAAACTAAATAAATACTGAATAATTGTATCTCATAAATGTTTACCCTGTGACCCAATCAAACTTTGTTATTTTTAATTACAATACCTAACAGAATACTCCATTCTACTGAATGCACAGCAACATAGTAAATGACAGTATGACCTGTCTTTGAAATACTCATTTGTGCTTAATTGTTATTTGTTTACAGTAATGTTTACCACTGAATATATCATTGCTTAGTTAATCTTAAGATAATTTTAAGCCTGCCCATAATGCTCTACATACAAGGGGCTTTGGCATGTTACACTTAACCACTGTATTTCCTTGTACTTCTATGTATCATGTTCAGATTAATAATAAATAAATAAATAAATAAATATTTAGATCATGCTATGAACCTACAATAAAATCTCATTGAATAATAAAATCTAACATATATTGCATTCTATTCATGCCATGGAATTTTCTTTTCCATTGGTACACTAAAAGTTAATTTCATATTGGTTATATGGTTATCTAAATCCCCATCATCCTAGATGGGATTGAGTTCATTTGCTTGGTTTTATCTTAATCTAAATTACTGCTATCCCACAGGAGACAGGACTTGAATTGCAGGAAGAATCTCGTGAACCATTTTTTGAACTTAATCGAATCCTTGCAGCTCTAAAGGCAAGAGATTTAGGTCCAGCTCTCCAGTGGGCTGAGGAAAATAGGGAAAAGCTACGGTCACAAGTAAGTAACCTTTTTAACCTTTTAGCTAAATTATCATTTTTTTTTCAGTGGAGAGGAATAAATGGGATTAGGTCAGGGGTTTCAAATAGTTAGAGCTAAAGAAGGAGTAGTAATAATGTTGAAGGATAAGCTATGGCAGGAAAAGAGGGACTGTAAATGTATTAATTCAAGGATTATGTGGAGTAAAATAAAGATTGGATGTGAAAAGTGGGTTATAATAAGCGTGTATGCACCTGGAGAAGAGAGAAGTGTAGAGGAGAGAGAGAGATTTTGGGAAATGTTGAGTGAATGCGTGGGGAGTTTTGAATCAAGTGTGAGAGTAATGGTGGTTGGGGATTTCAATGCTAAAGTGGGTAAAAATGTTATGGAAGGAGTAGTAGGTAAATTTGGGGTGCCAGGGGTAAATGTAAATGGGGAGCCTTTAATTGAGCTATGTGTAGAAAGAAATTTGGTAATAAGTAATACATATTTTATGAAAAAGAGGATAAATAAATATACAAGGTATGATGTAGCACGTAATGAAAGTAGTTTCTTAGATTATGTATTGGTGGATAAAAGGTTGATGGGTAGGCTCCAGGATGTACATGTTTATAGAGGGGCAACTGATATATCGGATCATTATTTAGTTGTAGCTACAGTTAGAGTAAGAGGTAGATGGGAAAAGAGGAAGGTGGCAACAACAAGTAAGAGGGAGGTGAAAGTGTATAAACTAAGGGAGGAGGAAGTTCGGGTGAGATATAAGCGACTATTGGCAGAAAGGTGGGCTAGTGCAAAGATGAGTAGTGGGGGGGTTGAAGAGGGTTGGAATAGTTTTAAAAATGCAGTATTAGAATGTGGGGCAGAAGTTTGTGGTTATAGGAGGGTGGGGGCAGGAGGAAAGAGGAGTGATTGGTGGAATGATGAAGTAAAGGGTGTGATAAAAGAGAAAAAGGTAGCTTATGAGAGGTTTTTACAAAACAGAAGTGTTATAAGAAGAGCAGAGTATATGGAGAGTAAAAGAAAGGTAAAGAGAGTGGTGAGAGAGTGCAAAAGGAGAGCAGATGATAGAGTGGGAGAGGCACTGTCAAGAAATTTTAATGAAAATAAGAAAAAATTTGGAGTGAGTTAAACAAGTTAAGAAAGCCTAGGGAAATATGGATTTGACAGTTAAAAACAGAGTAGGGGAGTTAGTAGATGGGGAGATGGAGGTATTGGGTAGATGGCGAGAATATTTTGAGGAACTTTTAAATGTTAAGGAAGAAAACAGAGGCAGTAATTTCATGCATTGGTCAGGGAGGTATACCATCTTTTAGGAGTGAATGAAGAGCAGAATGTAAGTGTGGGGGAGGTACGTGAGGCATTACGTAAAATGAAAGGGGGGGGTTTAAAGCAGCTGGAACTGATGGGATCATGACAGAAATGTTAAAAGCAGGGGGGGATATAGTGTTGGAGTGATTGGTACTTTTGTTTAATAAATGTATGAAAGAGGGGAAGGTACCTAGGGATTGGCAGAGAGAGCATGTATAGTCCCTTTATATAAAGGGAAAGGGGACAAAAGAGACTGTAAAAATTATAGAGGAATAAGCTTACTGAGTATACCAGGAAAAGTGTACGGTAGGGTTATAATTGAAAGAATTAGAGGTAAGACAGAATGTAGGATTGCGGATGAGCAAGGAGGTTTCAGAGTGGGTAGGGGATGTGTAGATCAGGTGTTTACATTGAAGCATATATGTGAACAGTATTCAGATAAAGATAGGGAAGTTTTTATTGCATTTATGGATTTAGAAAAGGCATATGATAGAGTGGATAGAGGAGCAATGTGGCAGATGTTGCAATGTATATGGAATAGGTGGTATTTATTAAATGCTGTAAAGAGTTTTTATGAGGATAGTGAGGCTCAGGTTAGGGTGTTGTAGAAGAGAGGGAGACTACTTCCCCGTAAAGTAGGTCTTAGACAGGGATGTGTAATGTCACATGGTTGTTTAATATATTTATAGATGGGGTTGTAAAGGAAGTAAATGCTAGGGTGTTTGGGAGAGGGGTGGGATTAAATTATGGGGAATCAAATTCAAAATGGGAATTGACACAGTTACTTTTTGCTGATGATACTGTGCTTATGGGAGATTCTAAAGAAAAATTGCAAAGGTTAGTGGATGAGTTTGGGAATGTGTGTAAAGGTAGAAAGTTGAAAGTGAACATAGAAAAGAGTAAGGTGATGAGGGTGTCAAATGATTTAGATAAAGAAAAATTGGATATCAAATTGGGGAGGAGGAGTATGGAAGAAGTGATGTTTTCAGATACTTGGGAGTTGACGTGTCGGCGGATGGATTTATGAAGGATGAGGTTAATCATAGAATTGATGAGGGAAAAAAGGTGAGTGGTGCGTTGAGGTATATGTGGAGTCAAAAAACGTTATCTATGGAGGCAAAGAAGGGAATGTATGAAAGTATAGTAGTACCAACACTCTTATATGGGTGTGAAGCTTGGGTGGTAAATGCAGCAGCGAGGAGACGGTTGGAGGCAGTGGAGATGTCCTGTTTAAGGGCAATGTGTGGTGTAAATATTATGCAAAAAAATTCGGAGTGTGGAAATTAGGAGAAGGTGTGGAGTTAATAAAAGTATTAGTCAGAGGGCAGAAGAGGGGTTGTTGAGGTGGTTTGGTCATTTAGAGAGAATGGATCAAAGTAGAATGACATGGAAAGCATATTAAATCTATAGGGGAAGGAAGGCGGGGGTAGGGGTCGTCCTCGAAAGGGTTGGAGAGAGGGGGTGTAAAGGAGGTTTTGTGGGTAAGGGGCTTGGACTTCCAGCAAGCGTGCGTGAGCGTGTTAGATAGGAGTGATGGAGACGAATGGTACTTGGGACCTGACGATCTGTTGGAGTGTGAGCAGGGTAATATTTAGTGAAGGGATTCAGGGAAACCAGTTATTTTCATATAGTCGGACTTGAGTCCTGGAAATGGGAAGTACAATGCCTGCACTTTAAAGGAGGGGTTTGGGATATTGGCAGTTTGGAGGGATATGTTGTGTATCTTTATATGTGTATGCTTCTAGACTGTTGTATTCTGAGCACCTCTGCAAAAACAGTGATAATGTGCGAGTGTGGTGAAAGTGTTGAATGATGATGAAAGTATTTTCTTTTTGGGGATTTTCTTTCTTTTTTGGGTCACCCTGCCTCGGTGGGAGACGGCCGACTTGTTGAAAAAAAAAAAAATATATATAATAACTATTTCCTGCTTACTCCACAACATTTTTACCCACTTTAGCATTGAAATCCCCCACCACAAGCACTCTCACACTTGGTTCAAAACTTCCCAGGCACTCTCAAGATTTCCAAAAATCTTTCACTCTCCTTTACACTTCTCTTTTCTCCAGGTGCTTAAACACTTACCATAACCCACTTTTCACATCCAGCCCTTATTTTACTCCACATAATCCTTGAATTAATACATTTATATTCCCTCATTTTACTATCTCCAACTAATTTACCGATTCTTCTCTTTGTTCATTTTCCAAAGTTATCATATCTTGCATCCCTACCAAGTAAGTTGGAGACAATTGCTAATATATTGGAGCATCTTGTATTAACCCTTTAGGGTCGGCAGGTCCTCTCAGAGACTTGTTCTCAGGGTCGGCCAAATTTCAAAAAAAAAAAAAAAATCTTATGAAAAGATAGAGAATCTTTTCCTGATCATAATGACACCAGAAGTATGAAATTTGATGGAAAACTTACGGAATTATGCTCTCGCGAAGTTAGCGGTCTCAACGATGTTTATGCATCAGCGATTTTGCCCACTTTGAGCCATATTTTCTGCCAATTCCAGTGTACTAGTCGACAAAAATCATAACTATTTTGCTAGAACTCCATTTTTCCTATCGAATGAGTACAAGAAACCACCCATTTACCGATTTCAACTATCCAATAAAGTGGTCAGAATTTAGCAATTTTGCCAATTTCACACAAATTTCAAAAGATGCCAATTTCTGAATAGGGTCCAGAATAAACAAGAAAGACATTCCTGGCACTAAAATAACAAGTTCTCTGTTCGTTAGTCACATCCCCAGGCCCCTCTTATATTTCTTCGGCTTTCCACTTTGAATTTTTATTTTTACAAAATAAATAAGATTTACTGTTATGCAGACTACTGCATTAGTGTAGAAATGGTATAAATAATATCAGAGCACTTGTGAAAGAATATTAGACTCACCAGTTGATGTGTATTGGACGCTTGGCATGATTTGTTTACTTTTGAACTTTGGTAAAAATCAAACATTTCTGCTACTTTGAGCTCAGTTTCAAGGTACTTTTCATTGTAAAACCAGTCAAGATCATCTCAATTTCTGTAATATGTCTTCCATTCTATAAAATGAGACCAAGAAAACTAGAATACAACAATAAATACTATACAAAAATACAGTGCAAAGTCGCTGTTTTAATCCAAAAACATGGTCAAAGTTTTTTTTTTTCTCATTACGCACTGTGCTGCAGGATTTTTTTTATACTGTGCACACTGACCACATAGACCCATTCTTTCATATGTAGGCCTACCAGCTTTCACTAGATTTGAGGGCACTAGAATTTAGGCATACTAGTATGTCAAAAACCCTCGGTCGTAAGCCGTACTAGTACGTCCGAAACTCCCAAAGGGTTAATTATAACAGAATTTAGTTTTGTGTTGTTCTTAATATACTTTCCCCTCAAGGAGATCCTTTATGCTGGCAAGGGCAGGATTTTGATCTAAGGAATTGGGCCTGTTCTTCCAAGGATTGAACCCAGTTGTCCCCTAAATATAATTACAGTATACAGTAAACCCTCTCATAATGCCACCCAACATGGCAAGATTTTGACTCGGCACCATTGGGAAATCTTTGATATTATGCTCTGTAAATCTATAAATCCTAGGTAGTAAGTTTAGACAGCAACTGCCAAGGGAGGTACTACCTTCCTGCCAAGTGAGTGTAAAATGGAACCCTGTAATTGTTTTACATCATGGTAGGATTGCTGGTGTCTTTTTTTTGTCT